GTGTGTGTGTGTGTGTGTGTGTGTGTGTGTGTGTGTGTGTGTGTGTGTGTGTGTGTGTGTATGTGTTTGTGAGTGTGTGAGTGTGTGTAAAGCATCGACAAGCATCATCAACTCCAGGGAAAATCAAAAGGCTGAATTGTGGAAACACTGAAATCAAATCTTTGCACCCTTTACCGGATTTACGGGGATTTGTCCTTGCTGGAAATAGGAGACGGGATAATAAATTAACCAGGAATGTCTGACTCAATAAAAATGTGAACGTACAAAGGCACTGACACCACGCTAGGCGTTAGATCTCGAAAATAATACCCCTGTGGGAACAGAATGATATACAGTCTGAATGACATCTTGCATCGTTATGTTTTAAAACGTTGGTCATTGCTTGTCTCAGGGACATTTGTCTTGTATTTCCAGAACAATCGAGCCTTGCGCAGAGGGTAACCTACTCATTCATAGAATTACAAAGGGGCTCCAACAAAAAGCCATATCGGGTCTCTTAGATATTAAGTAGATGTCGAATTATGAATTTCGATTTGATCAGAACAATAGTTGCCTGCCACATCTATCAATATCGTCTCATAATTTATTTTCTGTGAGAGCACAACTGCAGTTTCAACACGAAATGGAATGCAGCCCCAGCCCTGCTGGTATATCAACGGCCTGTGGCTTGCAGGTCTTAACCTAGCTGTGAGGAAGGTTCTCTGAGCGTAAAGATAATGTGCGGTTGTTTCTGGGGGGTTTTTTGTTTGAGAGGGTAATACTGCGCCTGTCACAGACGCTGAATTTGAACACTGGCCTTGGTAAGAGCAAAACAGTCTCTGGGAAATGACGGGAGGCTTGTTTCACCTCTGGAGAGGAACCACCTTTTGTTTTTGAGTTCGTAAACTGCCATTGCAAGCCTTTGCGACCTAAAAACAACACGAATCTAACTTGTCTTTGTATTGATTTAGTGCTGGTTTTTCCGTTTGCTTGTTTTGTTTCCGCTTTTTTGTTTTGATTTCATTTTGGTTTTATTTTAGCTTTGTTAAGTTTTGTTTTTTGCTTGCTTTTTTTCAATATTTGTTGAGAAAATGTCAGATCTATTCGGTTTTCAAACTTGAACTGTGGGAACTTGATTAAGTGCAATGTACATTTTACTGCATAGATCCCACGTTGGGAGAGCTATAAAGAATATAGTCCCAGTATCTAAATGGATCAAAGTATTCTATACTGTTTCCAAAGAGAACGTTTAACACAAGGGATTTCATTTTTAAGTACTAGTAACCAAATAGACTCAGATTGCAAACACACCTGCATGGGACTGATGACATACAATAACCCCAAAGGAAAACAGTCGGGTGTGAAGGCTTCCATAGCCATGGACATACAAAGGTATTTGGACATACCTACGAAACACTCACTAGATTTTATTTAATATCGTTTACGTGTTATCAATACTCAGGTAAGAAAATTGACCTGAACCACCT